GGGGGGGGGGTGCTGATTGCATCATTTCACCCGTTTGGTACCAGCTCACATCTTGATGACTCGGGCTCGCGTCCGAGGGGTGCAATGGGACCTTCCGATGGGTGCAATCTCATCGCTTAACAAATCAAGATCCCCACTTCCTTAAATTGCATTCCCTACATATTTCTTTCTTGCGTCAAGAGTCAGTTGTCCACCTGGAGGGCTTGCATCCGACTAGGAAACTCCCAATGAATAATCCCGATGGGTATACTCGCCAGGAGGCTTTGGATATGAGAGCGTAAGCCAAACAGATTCAAACCGGCACAAGCAGTTTGAAAGATTTTCTTCTGATAGAGACAACCAGTCTCACTGCGCAGCAGGAATTGGTCTTGCTGTTATCGGTTGTTTCATCGCCCTCCGTCACCACCAGACTATCGAAAAGCTGAAATAAACTATTGGGATACCCCGATGTTCTAGAAAACCCGTACGTTTGACTGGAAATGTACTACGAGGATGCGGTTGGGAATGTCATGAGTGGTCTTCTGCAACTCTCATCCATAGCCCTCTTTGAACATCTAGGGTTCGGTTGGGCTGGCTCTTTGCTAGGATTTGTAGGAGTTGCGCTTTCTATCGTACCGGTCGTTCTTGTGCTCAAGGGACGCCAAATTCGACAGCGCAGCTTGTTCATGCGGAAGGCTAGATTTGACTGATAGTAGGTAGGCGAAGTAGGTACTTGATGATTTGGCAATTCAAGCACTTTCCTACTTGGAAAAATCAGAGAAGCGTCAAGACATGATATGCCCTAATCTTCTTTAAAAGAAGCTTGACTCGCTAGCGTTCTAAGCCGCGCAGGCGTCTATTCCAAAAATGCAGGTGACGTTCGTCCTTTTTCTTGGCATAGACCCTGACTGTAGTCTCAAGTAGGGTGTCCAGTCGGTTATGCAAAATAAGTGATTTCATGGAAACAACATGGCTCAATGCCTTTCGCTTGTGAAAAGCCTGCACTTTGGTCTTACTATAAGAATATTGAGATCGGCAGTAGCTATATGGCCCTGGATATTCATGCTAGCAACAATAATTGATGCATCTCTCATATGTTGCGCTTGAGCACCGGGAACTGCTTGTCAGATCACACAACCAGGCGAAGAAGGCTGTGGGTACAGTGTCAATCGGCCGAGGTCTCTCGTCAATAGAATGAAGCATCAGCCCCTGGAACGAGACTAGACGTGCTGTATGTTTGGATTAACCCAGATTTCCAGGCCAGTATTGATGACTTGATCCGCCAAACTATCATCTACTTCTGGAGATCTCCGGATTGCCAGACTTGTGCCACCCCAATTATACAAATCTGACCCCACTTTAAGTAATTATTGCTGTGATAGGCCAATTCAAAACGCACTAAAATGAGTCACCATGAGTCTTCTATCAACAGCCAATCGGGCGAGCAAAAATAGTGGGGTTCGTTGCATCCAAGCGTTCGATGGCCCCTTCAGCCCCCTCGGCCTTCCAAGCCCCCTTGGCTTCCAACCGGATATAACACCACCACCCCCTCTTTCCATCGTTTCTTCCTCAGGACACCACTCCTCGGGCCTTTGTGACCGAGTTCAACCCATCTCCTCCAAGTCCCCCCCAGGACTTCCAGGCTACACTTCGAACACACTTCGAACAACTCAAGTTAACGCGCCACGGGCCCGCTTAGGCCCGACTAAAGTATCCAACCATGTCGGCAAGCACGTGCACCAGCGTCGCGGCCGTTTTCCAGCCCGTCCCAACCTTCTGGCAGCCTCAGCAACTCGATCCATCATTCAAACGGCCTCGCGAACTTTTCTCCATGGTCTAATCACTCTTTAAGTCATCACCAAATCCAAGACTACTCCTTATCTTCTCTGGCGCCTCCGTTGGAATGCATTCCTTCGGTTTCACCGTACACTCAATCCTTTGATACCTTTACCACGCAAGAGTCGGATCTTTGGGCAGAGCCGCATCTGTCCATTGCCAATACCGACTGGAACTTTGACCCTCTTGAACCTCCTCCTGCGCTTTATACCTCCGGCTTTGACGGTGTCCATGTAACCGTTAATGACGAGGCTTACGGTGTACCCTCCACCTTCGACTCACTTTCTGACTCGGGATGCAACGAGCCTCGACCTCTTCCTCCTTCTCTCATTCCAAGTCCGTCTAATACTCAGGGTAAGAGACGCTCTTATTATACTGCAATTTGCTCTCAAGAACGACGTTTCTAATCTCCTTATCAGACGGATACGCGCATGCTTCGCCCATCTCCCAGATTCCCGGCTCCGTCTCAACATCTCAATCTAGCCCTGCGACTTCACAGGGTGACGACGTGCTGACCCGCGTGGACTCGTCTCGCGTTGAAAAACGGAGACTGAACACCCTTGCGGCGCAGAGATGTCGTCAGAGACGGGTTGACCGGATGAAGAGTCTTGAAGCTGAATTAGAAAGCGTACGAAGGGAGAGGGATGAGTTGAGACTCAAGGTCTCCAAGTTGGAAGGCGAAACGGAGGCTCTCAAGGGGCTTCTGACTCGAAAGAGCAAATGAAGCTCCACCACTGTTCCTCTTTTCTAGGGGTTTTTTTAGCCTTTCTTGAATGAATGAATCTTTTATGACGGCCAACTATCTTCTCTATCGTATCTGGCCCGTTCTTTCATCGTATCTGGCCCTTTCTTCCATGAGGTTTAGATTCAATGTAAATCCCTATCAAGGCTCATGACAGAGGACGGTTGTGTTCCGCAGTGCCGACCCAGAAAAGTGGGACCCTCCTTGTTGTAAGAACTACTCGTCTTGCCCCATGAGGAGATGCGGGGTTAGACCTCGGACATAGAATAGTGTAACCGATGACCATTTCCCTTGGTATAAAGCCCCTTTGAAGGCCGCCTGGTTTGCTGGCCTTATCGCACCTGCGTAGGATCCCAGTGTTATTTCTGGCGTGGACACATCCGTTTTATCGCTGCTCCAGGTAATTACAAAATCAAGCCGACGTCTGATCAATATGCGAGCCGTTCGCTACCACGGAAGAGAAGATGTCCGAGTAGATGATGTACCAGAGCCAGTATGCGGAAGTGGACAGGTCAAGGTATGTCAGACCAATTCAACATCCAGGCACTGCCGCGGGGGTTTCAAGCTTCTCACCATCCAAAGATTAAACCAGCGTTTGTCGGAATATGTGGTAGTGGTCAGTCACCATCCATGAAGTCAATTCAGCTCTTAGATTTTAGACTTGACCGTTGACTCTTTTCTTAGATCTTCATGAGTATATGGGTGGCCCACATGCAGTGCCTCGAACTCCACACCCGCTGACCGGGGAGAAACTCCCTACGACGCTCGGCCATGAGTTCAGTGGGATAGTTGAAGAGGTCGGAAAAGATGTGACGGATCTCAAAGTTGGTGACAAGGTCGCCGTCAAGCCTAATCTGTCGGATGGTACTTGTCGGTCCTGCTCAACGGGGCGGGCCAACTGCTGCGAAAAGCTTGGGTTCATTGGATACAGTGGTCAGTGTCCCACAAGTTGGAGCATCACATCATTACCTGGTCATGGCCTTTAATTCCTATTCAAGCTACCTGGGATCCCTTGCACTGGACTGACTGGTTTATCAAGGCAGTGCCGGTGGTCTGTCTGATCATGTTGTCGTGAATAGAAAGCATGCGATCCAGCTGCCTGAATCGATTCCATTAGAAATCGGAGGTAAGCGAAGCCAACAAAAAAAAATTCATTGATCTTTGATGATCAAGTACTAACGTAAACCCACTCTGTAGCATTGGTAGAGCCTCTATCCGTCGCCTGGCATGCCGTCAATCGCAGCCCTCTCCAGAAGGGCGACACCGCTCTCGTCGTCGGCGCTGGCCCCATCGGTCTAGCAATTGTCCAAGTGCTGAGAGCCCGAGAAATCAACACGATAATAGTGGTGGAAGTCTCCAAACGACGACGAGAATTTGCCACTACGTTTGGGGCATCTCACGTTCTAGACCCTACAGAGGTAGACGCCGTGGCGGAGGTACGGGCTATCACTGGCGATTTCAAGGGCGCCTCCGTGGCCTTTGAATCTTCCGGTGTTCAGGCGGGACTTGACACTGCCATGGCAGGAACTAGGGTGCGTGGGACGACGGTGATACTGTCGCTCTGGGAGAAGAAGCCCGTCCTGGATGCGTTCGCTGTCGTTCTTGGAGAGAAGCATATCGCGGGCGCGGTGGTCTATGATGAAGGGGACTTTGAGGGTGTGATTAGTGCAATTGAGTCGGGTGAGAATGCCTTCCGTCTTTCAATCCTTAATGCTATGTTCCCTCCGCATGCTAATGTGAACAAATAAAGGCAAAATCCAGCCACGAACCATGATTACCAGTACAATTCCTATGGAGGAGATAGTTGAGAAGGGGTTCAAGGCACTGATACATGAAAAGGATCAGCATATCAAGATCCTTGTTGATCTCTCGGCGTGATCGGTCTTAGCTGGACGCGTGCGAGCTAAACTACGAACTTACTATGTGAAGTCTTTGGGTATTTGTGATCTCATACTTCTCCTCCATGACGATCAGTACATTGCGTGCTCAAGTTGGCTGTCAAATGAAATTTTGTAGCGACCTTTCAGAATGGACATTCTCTTAGTACCATAGCCGAGCATTTTGCTTACGTTAATACAATTTCCATTGGACTCGAGCTTCGAGTTTTTGCGACGAGATGAAACGATTTGACATCGTCCGCAGCCGTCCCGGCCCCGGGTCCATTTTTAGGGGCGCCAAGTTCGTTTATTTTTTGCTTTTCTCTGTCTGATGATACGCTGACTACAGTACTACTCCAAACAGTCAATATTATACCGAGCCTGTATTTCTGGAATCTCCTCGAATATCTTTTTCAAATGATTATTAGGCAACCAAGGTGCTCGCATTGATGACAGACAGGGGTGGACAGGGGTCCTCAGACAGGGAACAACAGTCGGGACCAACGAACCCACTCAAAAACCCCGCATGGGATCGAAACGAGTAGTTTTCGTAAATAACTGCTGACCAGGGTCCTTTTGTACGGTTTTGTCCGGAGACTCCGAACGACCGTATGTACTACTACCCACTTCTCCATACGCCATCTCGGCTACTGATGTGTCCAACGATGACTTGAGCACCGGGTCGGTTGGGCTAGCTGGTCCGTGTACGGTAGGCTTGTGGCAACCTTGGCTCAACTCCCGTCGCTAAACTAGCTGGGTCGGCCTAACTACTCTTGCCCACTCTACAGGTATTACTCGGCAATCCAAGTCCAGGCCCAACACAATCCACTGTAACGGAATGTATGTGCAGGTCTAGCCGCCTGGATCGTAAATCTTCGCTAGGGCCAATCTGAACCGCCGATCCTTCCACGGTTCGTGTTGGATGATGTGGCCGTCAAGATCTGCCAAGGCCCCCAAGAAGGAACTCTGCCAGCCACATGGAAGCACACCATCGGGCCGAAAGCCACCTACTAGGATTCTAAGTATACAATGGCAGGCCATGCTCCGCACTGGGGAGTTTCTATATGATACATATATTAGATGAGTTCATAGCTAATTTAATTAAGCACACCACCTTCTTTCATTCCTGACTACTAGTTATGTCGGGGAAACAAGGAACTGACCATCGTTCGGATGTATCGTATCATAAAGCCAGTTATGGCCAGTTTTTATTTTTGTCTTCACAGGGGGAAAGGCGTTTCCAGTGTCCACTTGGATGGATTTGTTCCGCCCAAAGACTGTTCTCGCATCTCGCTACGTCCACACTAACGCAGCACGTCGTCGGTGTCCACATCTGATTGATCCACTCGTCTTTTGTCTTTGTAGAGGATGGCCCCCTCAGCCGTGAGCTGAGACATGCCGACACTGACACCGCTCCATGCCCAATTGAAACCATTGGCCCCGTGCTTTCGTTCAACCTTGAACCCGCCAGTTCCAGGTTGATGGCGACTTCGATCTACAAGGCCCGCGGTTCCGTCCGTATATAGCTCGTCTTTGTCAGAGAGGCATAGGTGGATCATTTTTTTCTCTCAATTCTTCTTTTTTTTTGGTGCTCGGTCAGAGACTTGGTACCTTTCCCGAGGCTTTCAGAATCTATAAACCCTTTTTAAGCTTTTCAATTCTCCCTCCTTACATTCTCCTATACCGCTATTATTGAGGACTAAACCAGTTCGGGATACGATTATAACTGCCTATCTGATCGTTGCAGCGGTGGTTCTTTGAATTATTCCTTCCGCAGATCCACAGGATCAACTACGACCACGGAGTCACAAAGGACAAACACATACCTACCGTGATATGGGGAGGTCACTCACGGGAACCGTGATCATCACCGGAGGAAATGGCTCGCTAGGATCCGAGATCGCCGTGGCCATCGCCAAAACACAACCCTTCACACATCTCCTCCTCACAGCCCGACATCCCAAGCGACAAGATGCACGGGACTTGATCTCACGAATCCGACAGATCGGGCCCCGATCTATCGAGTTCATCAGTCTCGACCTCACCGACCTTCAATCAGTGACCAGTTTTGCTCACCGGACGATCGAACGAGTACGAAGCAAAGAAATCCCACCCATCTCCAACCTCATCCATTCCGCCGCCATTGCATCCTACACCGTCGACGAACTCACCCTGGATGGCTGTGACCCGGTCTACCAGACCAATTGTGTGGCACCGTTCTTCCTGACAGTCGGCTTACTCGAGGCGTTCCGCGCAGGCGATGGAACCCCCGACGGAGGCGCGAAAGTGATCTACATCGGCTGCTCCACGGCGTCGGAAGGTCGGCTCGATTTCTTCGACCGTGATCAAGGGCGCGATGCGCGGCCGCCGGGTACGGTTTTGAGTGCCAAGGAAGGGAATATTCGATTCGGGAGCAGCAAGCTTCTTGCAAGCGTGGCGTTATATGCATTGCGACGTAGCCTGGCCAGTGTGAGTTTTCTTCAAGTGTGACCTGATCGCAGGTCACTTCCCCCCTCCCCTCTTCTCATTTCCGTGATGAGCCAAGTGCTGACGAGAAGCTCCAATTATAGACCGACAGCATCGCGTTGGACATCTTCACGCTAGATCCCGGGGGTATTGCTGGGGAAAGCCGCCTCAGAACAGGGGCACCCTTGTCAGTACGGGTGGCACATCAGACGCGGTCGGGGCTGGGGCCTATTCTGCGGATGGTATCGCGCAGCTCGATCAACAAGGCCAGTGTTCCAGCCAAGGCGATCGCCAAACTGGCATTCCGTCGGGCTTCGGTGGAGCAAGCCGAGAGGTACTTTATCCTAGACGGTGAGTACGAGGCCGCATCCGTCCTGGGGACACTTCGTCAAGGTGCGGCGATGGAATCATTGCTGGTGCGGATGATGCGACAGGTGGAAGGGAGTTCGAAGGGATCGCCCGTGTCGATTAGTCCTGCGCCGACGATGTATTGAGGATTGAATAGAGGGGTAGATCTGACTGGGTTTAGGGGTCGATTGGGGGGGGGGGGGGGGGGTTTGTTTGGAGAGTTGTAAATCCCAAACTGCAACTGGCGGATGCCGATTGGCTCAAAAATGTCTGACGTACTACGGACGAGTGAGTTCAACTAATGTCCGACTAGTACAAAAAGACGACATCACTACGTATACATCGTACTAGAAAATCCAAATGGACACAACAATGTACTCAACAATGTACTTTGTTTTTTTTTAATTATTATTCCAACTAAACTAATTCTCATCGACTAAATACGTTGTCTTCGGTGGCTGCAAACGGCCAGCCGGATTCGTCGTTTCGGGCAAACCACTTCAGATCGGCCCGACTGGAAACTGGAAACACGCCAGCCAGTCCTGCGAATCTCCATTTGGCCTCTATACCTTCAATTCAGCTCTGTCCAATTTCTTTTCTACATCGGCTACTATTTCTCACTATTCCTTTCTTGCTCTTTCTTTCTTTTTTCCCTCACTACCGCCCCTCCCTGCTGGTTCACTGCCATTGTTGATCTCCCTTCATTCCTCCACCGCCTCATCCGATCTCGAGCTGGTCTCTTCGAGACTCTCCCGAGGACCGGTCGCTAGCCTCTTGGGTAATAGCTTCTTCAATCTCTCTTCTTCCTCGATGCTGCCCGTCTATCCACAATGAACAGGCATTACGCCTCTCCGAAGGGCTATTCGGCCTACCCCCGAGGGCCCAACAACCTCTCCATCTCACCCAATCGGTACGTAGACGGGGCTTCCCAAGCGCGCATGACGAACCCCCCCGTTGGAACCACATGGGGGCCGGGACAATCGCCAAAAAATGATGGCTGATCGAAATGGCGCCCCCCCTCGTATCTCCAATCGATACTAATCTGGTCGCGTGATAATTCTTAGCAGCTTTCAACCTCGTTCGCAACCTGCTCTCCGCCGTCGACGTCAGCTCTTCCAACGGCTACTCCTGCTCGGCGGGGTATCACTCCTGCTAGTGATCCTCATCTTTCCCTCCTGGCGCGCGGCCATCATTCCAACCCTATCCCTCGGTCTCCTGCATCCCTCGGAGGACCTCCAGCTCCAAACAGTCCGGTACTATGACCTCTCCGAAGTCCAAGGCACGGAGAAAGGCTGGGAGCGCGGCGAACGCGTCCTCATGCTAACGCCGTTGCGCGATGCATCCTCCCACTTGCCAATGTTCTTCTCGCACCTGCGCAATCTCACCTACCCGCACAACCTGATCGATCTGGCCTTCCTCGTATCCGACTCGCGCGATGACACGCTGAGTATGCTCACGCGCATGCTCCAGGAGGTGCAGAATGATCCGGATCCGAAGATGAACTTTGGCGAAATTTCCGTGATCGAGAAAGATTTTGGTCAGAAGGTGCAGCAGGATGTTGAGAGTCGGCATGGATTCGAGGCTCAGGCGAGTCGGCGGAAGTTGATGGCCCAGGCGAGGAATTGGTTGCTTAGTGCGACGCTGCGTCCTACCCATAGCTGGGTCTACTGGAGAGATGCAGATGTCGAGACGGCACCATTTACGATTATCGAGGATCTGATGCGGCATAACAAGGATGTCACTGTGCCAAGTACGTGGCTATTATCATGTCGTGAGAAATTTTATTGCGACTCATGCTAACCTTTTCCTATAGATGTGTGGCGGCCACTCCCGGATTGGCTTGGAGGAGAACAGCCGTACGATTTGAACTCGTGGCAAGAGTCGGAGACCGCATTGGCATTGGCCGAGACGTTAGATGAAGACGCCGTCATTGTGGAGGGATATGCCGAATACGCAACATGGCGACCCCATCTAGCCTACCTCCGCGATCCCTACGGAGACCCAGATATGGAGATGGAGTTGGACGGCATTGGTGGTGTCAGTATTCTGGCAAAGGCCCGAGTCTTCCGCGCCGGTGTTCATTTCCCAGCCTTTAGCTTTGAGAAGCATGCTGAGACCGAGGGCTTTGGAAAGGTGAGATCAATTGACATACCCGTCTTTCACTTTCCAGCGGCTAACAGTCTTACTAGATGGCCAAGCGGATGAAGTTCTCCGTGATTGGACTCCCACATTATACCATCTGGCATTTGTACGAGCCCAGCGTGGACGACTTGCGCCACATGGAGGAAATGGAACTAGAGCGTCAAGCCCGTGAGCAGGAAGAGCGTGAACGGGAGCTCCAAGAGCAGGAGGACAACAGCAAGTCCAAGGCCCAGAATGCTGCCAAGGGCTCTGACAAGGGTTCCGAGGAGGGCCCTGCCGCTCAACCCGTCAAGGACTCCGCAAAGGGCTCATCCAACCTTTAGAGCGGTTGCGCTTCGGTTATGGCTGGACGGAATCCCTGTTTCATTCGGTCGCTCCGTCAGCCACTTGTTCGACAAATCCAGCTGGCTGGATTCCAAGAATGATCCATATGGCGTATTTGCTGCGCTATCAGTGCAACACTTGTCTTGACCGATACATCTTTCGGGTCTGGTACTGTTTTACGGGTATAGTCAGTTCTGCTATACAAGCGATGCAGAAACTCTGTTCTTTGGTTTCGTTTTTGTGGGTGTTTTGGATCTTTCCCTGCTTCTGAAATGTATATGGTCTATGTTACTGGGTGGTCTTTTTTGCATGGTGTCCTAAATAGCATATTAGAGGGTGTGATGATTGGAGCTGGCATCATGGCTTTTCTGAATAACAACTGCAATATTTGTTACAGATTCTTCTCCTGGCCATAGGTCATGCAGTATACAAACAGTCTTTGGTCAGCCAGGCGACTCCTAATACCAACAATGACATGCCTGCTAAATATGCAAACGCTCGCTCAGCGACAGCCCGAATGTCATGATGACTAGTGATCTGATGCCGAGGTTGTCTCTCTGCATTAGCCAAAGAATTTCCATCAATCGTATCACCAGAACCATCAGCACTCTTTATATCACAGCGTTTGACAGCCTGAATAATCGTGTTGCAATCCACATTTATTTGAAAACACTCGAGAACATAATATGATTCATAGTTGGATCAATTCGCTTGAAGTCTAAAAACTTGTTCGGGAGGCCAGTCATTAAACAGTGGTCCGTGCACGACCAGCGCGTGCCTATCGCGTCTCCGCGCGTTTCTTCTTTGGCATCCCATCGACTTTTCTTGCAGATTGCATTCGAAGGCAATCCGTCGTTCCAATGGCGACTCAGGACTCACGGAGTATTCTTTTCACGAATACGAACCCCCAACAAGGATTCCGGCTATTGGAGCTAACCCCAGAATTGGAGGCACTGCTGTCTTCCAAGGATGCCTCAACGTAAGTCGACTACTTCATGCCATGATAATCGGAAAGTGTTAAGATATAGGCTCACCCAGCGCTTAATCTGTTGCCTGAAAAAGTGTTTGGCTGGGCTACTATCGCAAGAATGATCTCTGACAGAAAACCAATTGACCAGACTCGAGCTCAAATCCCCCTCTGCCGCCCTCGCCCGCGCCGTGGTCGATCCCAGTGCCTTAGAGTATGTCAACCTATGCACGCCTACACAGACATACCGAATCCGTCAAGTGCAATCATCAAACTCTCTCCATATCCTCCGACCCAGTCTTGGGCAGATCTCACGGGCAGACATCAAAGTCGTCGAAGAGGAGGCTGGCGAGAGCGGGACATTGAATCTTCCAAACGAGGCCGTGACGGCGATTGCGAAATGCGGATCTACACTAGAATTACACGTCCCGCCGGGAGGGTTCTCTGCAATCCCCTTTTTGGAGAAGAGCTTGGGTCTCTATGAACGACGGAGCGGCGACGATGATGGGGATATCGCTATGGACGAGTCTTCGAATGGGGCTGCGACATTGGGCCTGGCTGAGACGCGAAAATTGCGGGATCGTGTTTTTGTGGATATTCCCGTGTCCTCGGCTCAGTGTGAAGCCGGGTGGATGGAGATTTGCGCGTTTGTCGACGAAACGAAAGGTGTATGCTGGAGGCCTTCGGCACGGATGCGACTGAATGTGTGGAAGCGTTTGATGGAGGGTGCGATCCTGCAAGGAATCGACTTGGAGAAGCAGTTTCTTGTTGGGGACCTGTGGAAGTCGGTTCTTGACGAAGATGATACCGAGCCCCCGTTCCCACGGGCGCTCCTCGAAGCCGTGGCGAGAAGGCTTTGCGTGGCAGACGAGCGGCCACCATTGGCTGACGAAATCAAGTGTAAGTTGTTGATGGCCCGGCTCTTAGTACCATGTCAAGTCTAACCTGATGGTTATATAGGGGCGAGTTTTGACAAGGCCGAGTGCACGCAATGGGTAGGTGAGATCTATCTCGCTGCCACGGCACCCACGCCATCATCAGCAACCGGACGGACTGATTTCCTCCGTGAATGGAAAGATTGTCTTCCAGAGTCCTGGAGAGAAGAGGTCGCTCTATCCAAATTACAGCCGGGGTCTTACCAGAGCCCAGATCCTACGACGATATGCTTCGTTGAGCCATCGCAACGGCAGCAAGTCAGTAAGACTTCTGCCGCGGCGCCAGCTGCAGCTGCGAAGGCGAAGACGACCAGAAACTGGCATGAATTGCTAAAAAATCAAAAGCGCCGCTGATTTGCAAAACATCAAATGCGCTGTCGCGTCATTGATGGAGCGACCTGATTTATAATGTCAGGTACTCTCTAAAAATTATGTCACGACTGCCACCCAGTAGTTCATGATGCGGACTCCTCCACAGTTGATCCTTCGAGCTTGAAAAGACGAGCAAAATCATTAAAAAAGCAGAACTTCCCGAAAGGACACCCGAGCAAATTGAATCAGCACCAAGTATACTTCTCATTCAACATCCACTCCACGTCCTGACCAAGCCCATGCTCGTCACCGGTCCAGCGCAAGCTAGAAATGCTGCTCTTCTCGCGATGCACAACCTCTGCATCAGGATCCAGCACCTTGACAGCCTTCTGCAGAAGTGGTTCCGGATTCCAGAACTCGACGGTGCTCAGTCCCCACTCCTTGGCCTCATGCTGAGCCCGCCGCAAGATATCAGCCATCGCCTGGACCAACGCTTGCTCCTGCTCGGGTGATGTGGGCTCGTTATACACCCACCGCAGGATGTAAAGCACGCAGTCCTCGGGTGTCTCGCCAAAGCTCCGATTCCACGCGCAGTATACGCGAGCATCGTCATTCCCAGCGCCCTTGATGATTGGTGGAGCGCGGTGCGAGAAGACCTGTTGCGCATAGAATTCTTCACGAGCCCAGTGCCATACAAAGTGGTCGAAGTCGGGCAAGATAGCCACGGTGGCGGTCTGTGACTTTTTCGAGGCAACGCGCATCTCTTCGCGCAGATTGGCAATAATCGTACCGTTGCACATGTGTTTGTCGACGTCCTCGGCATATAAATCTCGTGTCACACTCTTCCCTGCTGCTCCATTGGAAAGCTCCTCCTTCGCCCGAGCCGGCAACACCATGTGTGAGGATGAGAATGGCCGCCAGCCAAACTGAGTGTAGAACTTTTTGCCGATATCCGAGAACAAGATAGTAAACAATGCTCTGCCTCGCGGCTGCTTTTCCATTTTCCATGTATCAAGCTTCCGGCTGAGCTCTTCGAGCATGCGCTTTGCGTAACCCTTGCCCCGGAACTCTGGCCGGCAGTAGACACTTCCTATACCGTGAGTGGAGACATCCTCCACTTTCCCGTCGTGCGCGAGTAGAGCTTTCTTCTGGTAGGTTTCGCAGGAGCTGAGAATAGTGCGATCACCCTCGGGCTCGGTACCGTCGACCAAGATCCAACAGGTCAGTCCATCCCGGGTAAGTCGTTGGCTGTAGAGGTGATCCTCGCGGGCAAGGTAGGTTTCGACATCCAAAAGCCCTTTCCAAGCAATACTGTTGAGCTTGATGGAGGCGATGCGCTCCTCGGGAGTGGCGGGGACCAAGATCAAGTCTGGCGAGTCTCCGTCTGGGAGGTGAGGGACGTTTGCGGCAATCATGTTGAGGTAGTGGCTGTACAATGAGGAGCCTTCTTTGAGAATGAGATACTGTACTCTCTGAGTAGGCGATTCGGGTTTGTTGGTGAAGGTCTCCAGGAGCGAGTCTTTCCTGCCAATTTTAAAGCTTCGGATAGTTCAGGCCAAAGTGAATAGTAGCCGAACCAATTGAATAGACCGGCATGCAGTCCTGGTCACGAGAGAGAAACCAGCTGAAAGTATATATAGTATAATCGTCAGATTCCTTGCATATCTTCACGTTTCACGACCACGCTCAGATCACCCGATAGCAATGACGAAGAGTAATCTCTTTTGAGCGAGAAATTGGAGAAATAGGAGAAAGAGAAGGAACCAAGGAAGAAAACGTCCTGAATAAAATCCGGGGTCGGCAGTTTCCAAAGTGGATAGGTAACCGGCCTTGGGACTTTGGAGGGCCCACGGGTGAGGGACCCCGGAGTGGTATAACTCCGGGACACGCCCTACGCACCCTACAGAGAGGGGTGGACAGGATCGGGCAAGTCGAGAGAGATTGTGACACACGTCAAGTCCGATTCCGATTCGATTCGTGCCCGCTTCAATTGGCTCCATCCTTGCGCGTTTCCTTCACCATCATCCGGCGGGCCGGGTGCTTGATGCGAAAGCGGCGACCGACGGGGGTTTCTCTTTGTCAACCCGAGCCGAGGGCAAGCGACAGAAAGCGGCCAAGATAAGAGAAGGGAGGTTAAATCTGCAAATCAGCAATGTTGTTTTAGCGGCTTATCCAATTGCTGGAACAGACTTTAGTGTTGTAGGCCGGTTAGACCTGCCGTTGACGTAACAGTGGGGGGCCCCTTCGGAAGGGGGAAATGGTCTCCAAATGGTGATCTGTGTGAGATCACGTGGGATCAGTGGAACGAATCATGTGATATGCAAACGAGTCATGTGATACCACGCAGGTCATGCGGATAATCACGTGATATACAAACCGTGAGTAGGGTATAGGCAGGTCACGGGATCGAGAAATTGGGATTGGGGAGAGAACATGACCTGCTTACCTAAGGGCGGATGACATCGCCGATGGGCAGTTTGCATGGAGGGGGGAATCTTCAAATGAGGAGGGGCGCAGAAAATGAGGGGAATTGGGCCATTTTTTTGTGTCAGCGACGACCAACTCCACCATCCAAACCAACCATTTCAAGTTTCACCGAAAGAGACCCCAAAAAAACCATAAAAAATAATAACCCTTTCCAACTCCGAGAAATTAATAATTCCAACTCTATCCTGACTCTGTTACCCAACCCTGCCTGGAGGGCCCTCCCTTCTGGTCACGAGGGTCGTCCTCACCCCCCAAGGAAAAGGGGGTCACTGCCGCCACCAATGCAGACTCCAACCACCAACTCTCCAGATGTCAAGCTAGTGCCGCGTCGCACCTTGGAGGGCCACTCTGGTTGGGTCTGGGATGTGGCCCTCTCCCCGGATGGTACGATGGCGGCGTCGGCCTCGAATGATACCACGGTCCGAGTCTGGGGCACGTCGGCGACGGGCTCGCTATATCGAATATTCAAAGGCCACTCCGGCCCGGTCAGGGCTGTCTCCTTCTCGCCAGACAGCCAGCGGGTGGCTTCTGCCTCCGACGACATGATCGTGCGAGTTTGGGAAATCGGCACGGGGGTCGTATCCCGTTCATTTCAAGGCCATTCCGGCTGCGTGAGGTCGGCCGCGTTTTCGCCGGACGGGAAGTTGATAGCGTCGGCATCGGACGACAAAACGGTCCGTCTTTGGGATCTCGCGTCTGGCCACACCGTCCAAGTCTTCCGCGGCCACACCGGCTGGGTACGGACGGTGAAGTTCTCGCCGGATGGGAAGCTGCTGGCATCTGCTTCCGATGACTGTACGGCTCGCATCTGGGATGTGCAAACAGGCACCGCCCGTGCCGTACTCGAAGGCCACACTGACTATGTGCGGGCCGTGAGCTTTTCACCAGACGGCACGATGGTAGCCACTGGATCGAAAGATCGAACGGCACGGTTGTGGCGAGCCGGTACTCTATCGACGGTCCTCGAGGGACATTCGAGCTGGGTGAAAGATGTGATTTTCTCTCCGGACAGCCAACTGGTCGTCTCTGCGTCGGACGACTCATCAATACGACTTTGGACTTCGAGCACGGGCAGTCCCTGCGGCAAGTTGGGACCAGTTCAAGGCTGGGAAAGGGGCATGGCCTTTTCGCGGGACGGGAAGCTGGTGGTGTCTACGGCTGATGATATGACAGTCAGGATTTTGGAAACTGACGAGAACTTATGGTCTTTGAAATAGAATTCTTAGAAAAGGAGATTAATGCATGAACTACTGTGGGTCTCGAGATAGGGAACCCCAATCTTTTCACATCACGGGAAATTCGCCAGACGATGGAGTTCTAGATCTTGACCAAGGAAACCAAAAGATATCACATCTCGTCAACAAGCCCACGAATATCACGCCTCGCTTCTCATTCAGTTTCCCCCTTCCCAAATCACTGAGACAATGGCTGAGCAGGAGAAGGAACCATGGGGATCAACACTTCCATGTACGAGATGACTCGAATCTGGTATTGGCCACTAGCAATAGGGAAGACGTGCGATCCCACTTGTCCAACGGTATGCGGGACCAGGACAGCTTCCACCGGTAGAGCTGACGGCACCCCATTCTGAGAACGAGGTTGTTGTGACTGTGGCTGTAGTTGCGGTTGCGGTTGCGTTTGGTGCGGTTCAGATTGTATAGGAAGTGGCTGATGCGAAATGGGCCGGCTTGAAGTTGCTGGCTTTGTGGTGTTCGTCTGGCAAGACGGTTGCCGTCGAGAGAAGTCTTGCTGGGGTTGCCCAGGCGCAGTTTGTTCTGGGCTGGTCAAGTCGGTCCATGATGAACCACGTTGTGGAAATGGCGGGAGTCCCGATTCCGTGTGGTTATGATGGTGCTCTAAGCTATCCGTCGTCATTGGCTGAGAAACCGTGGAATTTTGCTGCAACGGCGGCGGCGGCTGCTTCTGGGGTGGAAGAGAGCCCGGAGATTGGTCTGCAGTAGCCATCTAGAAGAGAGAGAGAGAGAGATAATGACGATGATGATGATGAATATTCAGACTGGCTGGGGTAGGGTGGAGAGAATCCAGAGAGGGAGACAGAAGGAGAGATGGAGAAGTTGGGCTTATAAGTGGATGGAGCACAAGGTATGTATCTGACACGGTTTTCTTTACAGGCGGCTTAAAAGGTTTAAATGAATGACCATCTATTGGATTAGAATGAAGAAGGACAAATTTTGTACTTGCAGTATTGAGAGACAAACAATGATACGCTGTACATACGAGTGGGTTCTCTGATGTGTGCTTCCTAGGTCAAACTACTTACAGGACTAGTGTTTTCATACATCGTGTTAGTTCATCATTTCTAGAATGATCAATCAAAACTACTCAGTGCAAGATAATGGTCAATGATTGTTCCGATGTAGTCAATACTAATATGAGGCTAATGCTTTAAACCAGAACGCAGTAGATGTACAGTTGTAGGTAAGTCAAGGTGATCCAGCATCCCTCCTCCATAAATTTACTGTATGGCACATAGTAAGGGCTTGCTATGTCTTATTCTGAAATTTCAAGCAAGGATGACCTTAATACCCACCAACCCCGGTTGGTAACAGTAGATGTCACGACATAGTGCATGATAGGGAACAAAGCTGAGGTATGAAAGAAACAGAGAGAGAAGCACATGTTAGATCGTACTGTACAAGGAGGGCAAACCGGAATCGTGTAGGAATGGCTGCTAGATTTAAATAATTGGAAATTGGCTCTAGAATATTGGAGATTTCATGTAGTTGAAAATATCAACAAAGGAGACGAATGAGATACATGAGGATGGTATGGAAGAAGAAAAAAGAAAAGGCCAGACCGCAATAAATAAGACCAACGAGGCCAGTTTATATCCACGGATCGGCATGGAGATATGCAAATGATAAAGACCTTGGATGATGACGAAAGTCAAGGAGGTGAGGAGAAGAAGAGGTCAAGTAATAAGAAAAGGAAAGAAGGAATGTCGTAAGCGTAAAAGAGGACCAAAAGTATCCTATGGAGCAATGTAGAAAAGAGAAAGTAAGCACAAGCTAATAGAAAAGAAAAGAAAAACCCGATCTATGTAAGTAAATGCCATGTGAGTCCCAAAATCTTCTGCTTCCCATTTTATGTATTTGCGCCACTTTCTTGAGGAAGGCAATTCTTAATTCCCTCGCCCATCATATATGTTCGGTCATTGGTCACGCTAAAACAAGAATGAGACTGAAATGGAGGTAAGAAAATGTGAGTAGGTGGGTAAATGGGTGGTGGCGGCAGTGTGGTATGGTCGTTTGGAGGATGTGGTAGGATGGGTGGTGGATAAAGAAACAAAGGAAGGACATGACATCCTAAACCAGGAAATGACACGGCAAGTATGGTCTCCAAAGGCGATTCTTAGGCGCTCCAGGAAGATCCTTTTTTTTTTTTTTTAGAAAAAAAGAATGAAGCGCGTGTGTTTCAAGGGGGCTGCTCCGAATCCACCGGTTCACCGAATTTCTGCCGTGCCTCCTCCACCCACAACTCCAAGCGCAGTTCTCCGGCCTCCACTCGTCGTACCGGTACCGTTTTGGCGCGGCCATTCGAGACCGGAGGAGACGGTTGCTGCTGCCGAGTCTCACCATTGCGCACCTTGGAAACGGAGTGTGGAGCGGTGCAAGATCGCAAATGCACCTTGCCGGGCTCGGCCACAATCCACGTTTGTTCTTCGTTGGTGGTTCCTGCAGGGGGAAGAGCATCCTCCCGAACTTCGATGCATACGGTAAAGCTGAATTCATCGTCTCGTGGCAGGGGTGTCAATCGGGCACAGGCAGACGCAAGTCGGGCCAGACAGGCTCGGAACTGGGCCTCGAGATCGACGGAAGTTGGCGCGGGGCCCTCGGGGGCACCTGCATTGGATGAATCTTCATTTCTGCTCTCAAATGTAGTGTTCACCTCTCCAGCTGGAGCGCGAGGGAATCCCGACAGATCAAAGGCATATCGTTCGAGGGGCTGGTTTGAGCGCAGAGATGAAATGATAATACTGACTGCGGTGATTGTGCCTTTCAAAATCTCTGTCCCAACTGCGATTGATGCATCGTTGATATAGTCGCAGACCTTGGGGTGACGCGATTGGCGGACGGGGTAGTTGTATGCCCGCACCGGGAGGAATGTGGCGCGTGGATAGACGGAGCGCAGGAACAGTATTTGGTGGACGGAGACCGTGAGGAAGTTGGTGAAAGAGGCCGCTAGCGCTGACTGGTTGGTGGGCAGCGATTTGGTAGCAGGGACCGGGGCGGAAAAGGTCGTCATGGTGGTGGTACTACTGGTTTCACTGGCCATTGACATTGTCGTTGAACGATCCGATGTCGTTTCCGCGGTAGGGGTGATCTTGACGGAGTCTCGAAGAATCTGAATGATGTTCCGCCCTGAAGCTAATCATCGCTCTGCCTTTCTAATGTCAACAGTCAACACGGGTGTCTAAGAATAAGACTCGGTGGCAGAAAATTAGGGTTTGATGATGTCAGGGGACCAATGTGCTTGCGGCGGCCGCCGATAGTCGGTCAACGACTTTCTTGTACCGGATGATTGTGCAGCAACATGGACAGCATTCGAAATGAGTGCAAAGAAAGAACAAAGCGTTTCTCTCCATAATAATCGAGTGGGGGATTGGGATATCAAAAGTCGGCGGTGGAAAGAAGGGAGGGGGGTTTGTTTGTTTGACGGGGAAAACCGACTAAGCACATACTTTGGGTGGACAAAAAGACAAAAGGCAGACCCTCAGAGCATGAGGGATGAATAGCGGTAGATCCCTGAGCGCCGGTCCCAAATGACAGAAGGAGTGTGGTCGCTGCTATTCCTCGTGGGTAAGGGACGACAAGGGAGGGGAAGGTGAGGAGGGGCGGGCTAAAGCGAGAGGGGGGCGGTATGGAAACCCTGATGCCCAGGAACGAGAGGGTCGGCGAGAATGAGTTCAGTAGCGTCCGAAGTATCGTTGGGGAGCCCGTGAAATTAAACCGCGAAATTTACGGCGACGACTCGACCAAAAGATTCACGATGTACCGATTTGGCAGAGGGGGAAAAGCAAGAGTGGAAGAGGCCGGTGGAAAGGCTGCCCCCGTCACGTGGTTGCGTCATGGGCCCTGCTTGACCTCGCCTTGCTGCCCATTCGAATATTCCCACAAACTGTAGTGGTGCTGGTGGCCCTTTTCCGTTTCTTTCTCTTGATGGACATGGCTTCCTCTTAATTAACATATCTAGTGTTTGTTGTCACTTGAAATTTATTTGACTGTTACTTCTCTATGGAGCACAACGAGCTTCCGAGCTAGAGAACCAAATTAAGTATACAACCGACGGGAAAGGAAAAAGTAGATCTCCATACACACAGACCCAAGGGTAAATTCAGGGCACAGTACCACGGAATATTGTCAGATTCTTGGGGGCGGTACAAAGCGCACAGTTTTTTTCTTCCATGCCCTTTTTGCCTCTATGGTCTCTTCCCCACCGCGTCACTCAGTCTGGTAGGTGGGATCGTCGGACGCTTAGCGGCGAAAGAGCCGATCATCGTAAGCCAAGAGAAAAAGAAAAGTAAGAAAATAAAATGGGGGAAAGGGAAACTCTAAGGTGTCAGGGAGATATTGAATAAACGCACACAGAGCAGTAAATGGGCCATAGAACCACAAAACACTCTTCGGCCAACCAAGCAAAGGTATTATTTAGACGTGTAGCAAGAACCAACGGGGTATAGGCGAGTAAAAATCAAGCCATACCCGAAGGAAACCCAGCGGGAGATGTAAGCTTATCTTGGTGCCCACGGCTTTGCCGGAATTGTCTCATCAGGTACCGACCGCTGTCGTGATCCCTACAGTACCTGAATGTCCAGGGATGTTCTTGCAAGAAACTACATAAGAGGATCTTGATTAATTTCCGGTAACGCTTGGCTCACTGTGCTTAGTTATCTACTGGGTAGAATTGAGCACGACCCTGAGCGATTTTCAATCGGGTAACTATGCGCCTGGGAAATTGAATAATCAAATTAATGTAATTCCGACACAAGTTTTCCATACCAGCGAGTCGCCTACGTCGCCGACCATATGGATGTCACAGAATTTACTACATTTTCCACCTATGTGCCTTCAGCAAAAAATACATTCCGATAATTTTGCTAGAGTAAATAACCAACAGCCTATTGATTGGCGCTCACTCGGTAAATTCGGAGTCGCCCGGGTGTACAGAGCTGAAGTGGAGTAGAGGGACTCTGCACCTCGTTAGACCATGACGCTTACCGGAACGGACCCGTACAGGCCTATATATTACAGCCAGAGTCTTTAAATCTCACTTTGTTGCCAGTCTATTCCTGACCACGGCTGATTACGAGTAGGTTCTCAACCAGTATGATCTCATAAGAAATATTCGGTCCATAGAGTTTTTCGACAAAGCTTGATTAATGATGAAGAAGCGTGTTGGTATCGGCTTAGCTATGATCTACTAACCTATCTGCATGAAGTAATTGGCGACGTGATGGATGAAACGTGATGGATGAATTCTGCTGGACTTTCGACTTATAGCCGACGCGCGCCGATTCAATCCTTATACTCAACATCAGAATTAGTAAACACAAGGAGAATAAGACTAACCGAGTAGTGTTCGCCTATATTTCCATTGTTGATATAAGTACCTATAAGCGGTTCGTTTTTCAAATACTGCTGGCTCTAGGTAACCCCAAAGTTGTATTCAACCGACATAGATAAATGGCTCAAAATACTCAGTCTATTCCGAAGTGAGTGTCAGATTTGGAGTCAGCAAGATAGGGTGGCAACATTTATTTAGAACTTCATCAATTATATTCTATTTTCTCACACGTCCCTTAAAGTTGACGGATAGGGAGGGGCTGTGTTTACTCCTTCGTTTTCCGCGTTCAAAGCGGAGATGCGGGGAGTCATCAGTTTCCCGATCGGGTAAAAGGTTGTCTTGCATCCACCAGATGGATTAGTCCCTGAGAGAAACTGCAGAACCTGACCCTTGTGTTTTACCAGCCATGTGAAAAATAAGTCACAGCTACCCTGAGCGGTAAGCGTACATAGTTCAGGGTTTCAAGCTGCAGAGGCGACTAGGCCCCCCCCCCCCCCCCAAATCCGGGGTAACCGGAGACATCACTTTACCCACGATCTTGCTCGCTTGACTGAGCGTCGAAAGTGGCACTTGGCAGAATGCCATAGCTTACTTGCATATGATAGCCACGCGACTGATATCTTGTGTACCCCATGTGAGGTCAAAAATAAGATCGGTGGATGAGGCGTACAGGAGTCTACACCTGTTTGTATCAACCCAGTGATCTGATATCCTCCTTCCTAGATACCTCACACAATTAAATAGTGTTTCTTCGTCTCCCACTACAGCAGTAGATTACAGTGTGATCTAGGAGCGAACGATGGATCGTGAGCCAAGAGTATCATCAAATGAGCCATATTAGAGACGATAACAGTTCATTCTAGGTTTGTCAAGGAATTGACCTATTCTTGGATTGTCACAGAATAGGCTTCTACAATCCGAAAGGTAACATCTGAGCTAGATCCAAACGTACTATCTGCTTGCTCCGTCATCCCTTGACCAAAGCGGAGCGGGACGGCCCAGGCAAGGCAACTTGTGTTACCTTGAAACGAGCTTCCCCACAGAACTTCAGCGTGCGGGATCTAGTTAGCTCTTTAAAGTATGGAGACCGCTTCACTGGTCGATGAGCCTGAGGCTTTGTGGATTGCTGCAACACAAGGTTGGAGAAGAGGTATATAAAGACCCTCTTCCTCTTCTTGTATCAGTCCAATATCACACTTCCAATATCACACTCATCCGAAATTCCACTCGCCCGTGGAAATAAGGTTTCTATTTCTTACAGAATGAGACGTGCTTTGCTTGCTAAGTTCCTTTTATGGACTGGCTTTGTTGCTAGTTATGCTGTCGAAACTGGCGAGTCCATGGGTCGACGGGCTGTTCAAGGTACGCCAATTAACCTCTCCTGAAACTGGAGTTCTGGCATTGACACATTAGACTTAGATGTCCATCAAAAAGCTTCAATTCCGAGCCGTGATGGTCTGCGATTTGTCATCGACGGTCAGGCAGAGTACTTCGCTGGCAGTAACTCTTATTGGATCCCGTTCCTCAAGAGCAATTCTGACGTGGACTTGGTCATGAGCCATCTGAAACAATCCGGCCTCAAGGTGCTTCGTGTCTGGGGATTCAACGATGTCAATGAAGTTCCCACCGACGGCCGCGTCTGGTTCCATCATATCTCAAATGGAAAATCGACTATCAACGTCGGAGCCGACGGCTTGCAGCGTCTGGATTATGTTGTCAAGTCCGCCGAGGCGCACGACGTCAAGCTCATCGTCAACTTTGTCAATAACTGGGATGATTATGGCGGTATTGCCGCGTATAATGCGGCCTTTGGAGGTAACTCTACGTCTTGGTACACGCACGGGGCTTCTCAAAAGTCTTACCGGGAATACATCAAGGCCGTTATCTCTCGGTATAAGGGATCATCGGCTATCTTTGCTTGGGAGCTTGCAAATGAGCCTCGCTGCCGTGGGTGTGATACCAGTGTGATTTACAATTGGGTCAAGAGTACCAGCGCCTTTATCAAGTCCCTTGAGCCTGCCAGAATGGTGTGCATTGGAGATGGTAAGTACACTAGATGCAGCCTTTGGCGAAATGAAATGGAAAGAAAATGTAATCTAACATTTTTTCCGGATCTCAGAGGGAATGGGTCTCACCACTCAATCGGACGGCACTTATCCCTTCACCTACTACGAGGGAGTTGATTTCGAGAAGAACCTCAAGATCCCCACCATCGATTTTGGCACGCTCCACCTATATCCCGGTTCATGTAAGTCTACACCACCTTTCAATATTTCTACTCTAATTTACACCCACTGATAAATTCCAAGGGAATGAGCAGGATCCTTGGGGTAACCTCTGGATCGAAGCCCATGGTGCTGCTTGTGTCAAGGCCGGAAAACCATGCTTGTTGGAGGAGTACGGCTCCCTTGCGCATGCATCTTCCGAGGTCCCTTGGCAGCAGACTGCTTTAAAGACAAATGGCATTGCAGGTGATACATTCTGGCAGTATGGTGACAATCTCTCTTCTGGTCCTTCGCCCGATGATGGATACACTATCTACCATGGAACTGCTAATTATACTATCCTGGTGACTGACCACGTCAAGAGCATCAAGAAGGCAAACCGGCACTGATGACAGGCTGGTGTGACCTCTGAATTGACCCATTGGCTAAAGTAAGGAAAAGTGGAAGGAATGTCAGTAAATGGCCAGTGGTCAAAGTGTATTGAGCAACTGAATTTTACTTATCTGTATGTTTCTGCGCTTGTTATAAAGCATATAGAGCAAACGCACCTCATGCTGTCAGCGTCTTACCTGTGATGGAAATTTTGAAAAATAGAAAGCACTGCAAACAAGATTGTAGACGCTTTATAGTTTCACATCATCACTTAAGGGCTCAAAATCAACCAGGACATGGATCATCAGATTCTCATTGCTCTAGGTGTCTTAATTGCTGGTCCCCTATAGCATGCGAGCAGCTAGTGCTACAGAATAATTATGCTAAAATCATTTTCTAGCTATCATCGAAGCAAAACTTTCAACACTGATTGGAGATGTAGAATTGTAGACTAGCACTAGCCAAATCCTATCTGAAAACAAATCGGAACTGTGCAGTCAGTCCATATTCGAGGACCAACCAAACGAAACACCGCAGTGTCGGATACGTGCTGTGAATCCACCATATGTTTATGCATGCATGCATATGGTCTTGGAACTTGGCTACTAACACCATCGAGCCTGGGGACCCATCTGAAAAGCTCAATGCTCGCACATCCAACCAATCAGCTAGTCAATCTGTAGATCCCCTAGGTTAGCCACTTCACAGATGGTCTATTAACAAAAAGATGGGATTCAATTAGAAAGCCTCTGACCAAATAGCTATCCATTCAGGAGGTCACCATACATAATACGCATAACTTATCCAGAGATCCGTTGTAGCTGGTTTTGGGCTTGGAT